GAGCTGGAAGGACCCTTAGAACATAGTATACCAGAGCTGGGAGGACCCTTAGAACATGGAATGTCAGAGCTGGGAGGGACCAGTAGGGAGAGGTTCGACTAAATGACTTCTAACAGCCCTTCCTGCTCTCGAGTCATACATGATCCTATTTTCCTCCTTCCTTGCAGGGCCAGGGTGGGGAGGTGGGGGGTGGGGAGGGTGGTAAGGGTAGAAAGAGCAATCCTGCACTTACATCTAAGGGGATCCCTAAAGAGGTGGAGTAAGCTTCAGGTTGCTGGTGGTTTCCTTCTCCCCACCAGTCTTCATTCCCAATCATCAAGGCCCCCTGGGACAGCTGAGACCAGAAACTAACTAACTACTCACTCCTGGCAGTCACTGTTATAGCTGAACACACATTTCTGTAAACTGTCCAAGGTCATGAGGCTGACGTGCTCAAACATGTCCAGGGAGACCACGGCCCCAGCAGCCAGACGATTCCACTTGGCCTGTCCAAGAGAAAGGCAATATCATCAGTAAGGGATGGTGTGCCTCCTGCCAACAACAGTGCCCAAGCCCAGTGGCAGCAAACCAAAGCATAGCAGTATCCGCTAAGACCCAAAAAGTGTGAAAGCAATGGGACAGGAGAGAGCAGAAAGAAGACATCTGAAAGAGAGGATCACAGAATCCTAGATTTCGAACTGGGAGAGAACTTAAAAAGAAATCATCAGGTTCACAGACACCTCCATTTTGCAGAGTAAGAAACTGAGCCCCAGAGATGAGAAGGGACTACCCAAAGCCGCACACATAGAATGGGTAAAGCCAACAATCAAACACAGGTCTTCAGGCTTCAAATCCAACACTCCAGTGCTCCCAGGGAACAGGAAGAAAACTCACGTGCATGATGTCTGTGCATTGGTTGTAGATTTTCATGTAGGGCTTAAGGATATCAAAGTGAAAAGCTGGGGTCAGCATGCGCCGGTGCCGGCTCCATTTTTCTCCTTTGCTCAGCAGCAGCCCATCTCCTGGTAAGAGAGAAGGTGATGGAAACAGACCAGTGTCAAGCCATTCAGTCGCCCTAAGGGGCACCTGCTACCATCTTGGGTCAGGAACAAGTCAACACACCCGTCCCTCCCCTAAAACCCATTATTGTCCCACCCAATCTCCTTCTCCTGAGTCAGAGGCCCAAACCTGCCCTACTCACCCAGCCAGGGTGTCAGGAAGCCATAGAAGAGCTTGTCCTTTGGAGCAATGGCCGCTGTGGGGAAAGAATAAGGAGTGTCTAAAGACTCTGCCACAGGTCTATGATCACATTCCTGTGGCTTCCAAGTCCCCCATCTTCACCGGAAGTGTGGCCTTTGCCAGCTCTCTTGGAGTAGGTTCCCCCTCCTTGACCACTATCTCTGTATCCACCTCCAGACCGACTCCCTCAATCTCCATTCATCCAAAAAAAAAAATCCATGCCCTTAAATCCAAGCTGATAGTTTGACAAGATTCAGCTGAACGTTTAGATCCCAAGATGGAGTGTAGAGAACTGCAAGGCAGAAGTTATATGTTGATTTCATCAATGGAGCGGATGCAACAGTGAACTATGATTTTTAAAATTCCATAGTATTTCAGTCATGTTTTTCTGATAAGAAAAATAGCATTTTCATTTTAAATAGAATAATGCAATTCAGCGAATCTTTAGTGGAGAAAAAAATCTATCTGTGTGTGATACCATTTTAGGAAACAGTGTTTTGTTTTTTCAAAGGAAGGTAAAAAGATGTTTCAGACTTCCATTTAACACTTACAACAACCAACAGGAATCCCATAGGGTTGCTTTTTCTCCCTTCTGGTGCTGACGGTAGCATCAAATGTGCCTTTAGTCTGGCCCAAGCATATGGGGCCACCAGCAGTAAAGAATAATGGGCAGATTCAGAAAAGTTATTTGGAACCATGCCCCCAAAGTTACTAAACCTTTGACCCAGTGATACCACAACTAGGGCAATATCTCCAAAGAGATCAAAGAAAGAGAAAAAATGCCCTATATGTACCAAAATAGTCATGGCAGCCCTTTAAATATTTTATATTTATAGCATCTCTTTTGTGGTAGCAAAGAACTAGAAACTAAGGGGATGCCCATCGACTGAGCAATGACTAAATGAATTATGGTCTATGAATATAATGGAACATGGTTATGCTGTAAAAAAGAATGAAAGGGGCAGTTTCAGAAAAAAACTGGAAAGACTTGTATAAACCAGTGCAGAATGAAGGGAACAGAACCAGGAGAATAATTAAGTAAGATAACATTTGTAAAATGCTTGGCAAAACCTTGAAGCACTATGTAAATGCCAGTTATTATTATTACATGCCAACTACTGTGACAGGTTCTAGAACTATAAGTATAAAGAAAAAAAGAATCTCTACTAGAAAGAAGCTTATATTCTAGTGGATAAGACCATAAGGGGAGAGAGATAACATACATATGTACGTACATATTTATATGTATATGGCATATTGCAATAAACATAGTATAGAGTGCTAAATCTATGATCCTATGACCTCTCTAAACTCAGTTTATCCATCTGTAAAAAAGGGATTATGTATTTTATATACACAGACACACACACATACTAGCAGGTGAATCAGAAAAGACTTCATGCAGAAAGTCATGGCTGAACTGCATCTTGAAGGAAGGAGTCAACAAGGTGATTCACTACAGGTATGAAAGACGGCCAATGCAAAGGCATGCAGACAAAAGAAGAGGGTTTGTGTGTGACGAACAGAGAGAAGGCACATTGGGCTGGAGAGGTAGGTTAGGACCAGGTTGTAAAGGACTTTAAAAGCAAAACAGAGGAGTTTACATTTAATCCTAGAGGCAATAGGAAACCAGGGCAGCTGACTGAATAAAGGTATCACCTGTTCATATCCATGCTTAAGGAAAATCACTTTTTGTAGCAGTTGGTAGGATGGACCGGGCAGCTAAGTGGCACAGGAGATAGAGCACCAGGCCTGGAATCAGGAAGATTCATCTTCCTGAGTTCAAATCTGGCCTCAGAAACTTACTTACTGGCTGTATGACCCTTAACCCTGTTTGCCTCAGTTTCCTCATCCATAAAATAAACTGGAGAAGGAAATGGCAAACCACTCCAGTATTGTTGCCAAGAAAACCCTAAATTGGGTCACAAAAAGTCAGAAATGACTGAACAACAACAGGATGTTGGGGAGTGGGGAGAAACTGAGGCTGGTAGGACAGTTAAAAAGCTGTTGCAATAGCCTGTGTGAGAGGTAAAGAAGGCCTGAACTAGGTTGGCAGCTGAAAGAGTAGAGAGGAGGCGTAGATGCAAGACATATCATGGAAGTGGAAATGGCAAGAATTTGTTGAACCTAAGTATAAGACTTTGTATGTATCCCTATTCAGTTTCATTATAAGTTTCAAAATTTTCATCTCTTTGCCTCTAGGACCCCGAATTGCTCGGAGACATGGGACCCAGATTTCCAGCAGATTGGGACCACTTTATCTCTCAGATTTTCCAACCTGACTCTGTTATCCATGGTAGTTATCTCTCCCAGCATTTAGTCATCTGCAGATGTGGTGAGCGTGACCTCTATGCGCAGGGTTCACTACTTCTTTTGTTTCATGAATCCCTTTGACAGTCTTTGGTGAAGCCTAGGGACTCCTTCTAAGAACATTTAGTTACCTATCTTCTATAATTGAAGTCAATGCCAAATTTTAGTTAGAGGTTAGTGAAAATAAAGATATCATTTTTTTCTCCCATACAAGTTCATGGACTTCTTGAAAGCTATCTATAGACCTTGTCTTCTATAGATTAAAAATTGCCTTCATTGAAGTCCTTCATGAAAATGTTAAACAGCACAGGGCCAAACAAACTAAAGACTTCTTTTCAAGTTCATGATCCTTCCTGCTGCCATATACATTGTATATGTGGAAGGCCCAAAGGACCTGAGGATAATCCCAGATGATAACAATAATAATAACCAAAAAAAATCAGAACAGAGCTAGAGAAGATCTTCCCCAATGAATTGAGAAAATATAACTTGCGGACGTGATGGTGCGGGTCTGTGAACCCAGCTCCTGTCTGACTAGTATCTGTCCCTGGAGCTAGTTGGGACCTGAGCTGAGCATTTGAAGGGTGGGGCTCTGGATGGTTGGCCCCACAATGGGCCTAAGGCACTGTGCACAGAAGCCTCCGGACAGGACGCCCAGACTTCATTCCTGTTCCCAGTGCTGACTCACTGGGACCTCAAGCAGGCCCACCCAGCAGATCTCTCTGGTACTGGATTGCTCCATCACTTTGGGAATATACTCACCCCAACACACCCAGTCCCACTGAGTCAACAATGAGGCACAAATAGAACAAAGGCCTAGGCCTTCAGCTAGTAGAAGCAGTGATTATAGAGAAATAATGTCTTGTCCACAGGAGGTGCTTAATGATTGCTTGGTGAGCCTAGTTCTAGCTCTGGCGGTGACTTAGTCTATGACTTCAGACAAGGCCTATCATCTCTGGGAGCTCATCTATAGAATAAAGACAGAATTCCTTGCCTGCTACTCTCAGCAGTCCATTGTGAGGATCCGATGGTAAATAGTCCCAATTCATCTGTTACTTTAAGATTTGCAAGATGCTTTCCTCAAAACAACCTCACAATGGGAGATTATCTAGGTATTTTTTAGTTCCAACTTGGAGATGAGAAAAGTGAGGCACTGAAAAAATTAAATGACCTGGAGTCACCCCATAGCCAATAAGTGTCTGAAGAAAGATTTCAATTCAGCACCCTTCCAAGCTATGTGCACTATGTGTATGGTATGTATATATGTGTATTATATGTGTATAGCACTACGCCATACCATGTGCCACTAATGTTTCATGTCATGGAGATGAAGTGCAGGGGAGGAAGACCTGAAGTTTGTTAACATGGACCAAAAATCAGGATTATAGATGGCTGAAGCCAGAATATAAAACACAGAATATTGAAGCTGGGAGGGCCCTTAGAACAGAGAATATCAGGGCTAGGAGGGCCCCTAGAACCCAGAATGTTAAAGCTGAGAGGGTTCTTAGAACACAGAATGTCAGAACTAGGAGGACTCTTAGAATACACAATGCAGAGCTGGGAGGGCCCTTAAAACATAGACTGTCAGAACTGAAATAGATTTTAGAATACAGAATGTCAGAGCTGAAATCGATCAACAGCATTTATTAACTAGGTGTGGGGCACTGAGTTAGACATTAGTGATTCAAACAGAAAGATTGAAACAATTCTTCCTCTCCCTCCACAAGTTTGCGTTCTTATGGGATGGGACATAAAAACAATGTCCGAGGCAGGATTTAAACCCAGCATCCTGTCTATCATGCACAGTCCTCTTATAGAATGTCAGAGCCAGAAGGGACATCCAAACACAAAAGAAAACCCATAATGTCAGGGCCTAGAGGGGCCTTCGAACATAGAGCATCAGGATTAGGGGGCCCTTAGGATATAGACTGTCAAAGCTGGAAGGGAGACAATCTAATCCCATTACCAGCCCCTTTACAGATGAGAATCCAGAGAGTTTCAAGAAGGTTAATTTTACCCCAAAGTCACAAAACTAATAACGAGTGGTGTTCTCCTTACTTCTAGCCCACAGCACCTTGCTGTTTTCCCTATAGCTGGGGAATGGGGGTGCAGCTGGTCTAGAATGAAGCAGGATAAGTACAATATAAACACAAAATAATTTCCAAGAAGTAGCATAACCAGGAAAAACCTCTTAGAGGAGATGGCCCTTGAACCGAGCCTTGAAGGGATCTAATTCCTCCTAAAATGTGGGATTCCAGACTTATGACATAGGAAGCAAATGAGTAGACTGCCCCAGTCAGGCCCGAGAAGGGGGAAGGTAGTTCCTTCTCAACAATGTGGCTGAACAACATGGGACACAAAACAACCATCTTGGGCAACAGCTCTCCATTGAGACACTTCCTGTGGCCTGGCCCAGAACTTCCAGTTGGTGGAGAGGCCCTAGGAACAGAGGCCCCAGGAGCTCACAGTCTACTCTGCCAGCAGGGCTCAAGGTCAACCCAATTTGACAACAGAGGCTTCTCTGGCACTTGTATGTTAACCACAAAGTAGGAAGGGGGTAGAGGGAAGAGGTAAGGGGATGATTGGAAGACAGAAAGGGGAGTATAGAGATCCTAGGCCTTTGGGAGGAGGAGACACTGGGCAATAGGGGAATACTATCTCCTTCCCTCTCCTACAGCACCTGGGAATGGGAAATTATCTCCAATGAGTCACATCAGACCCTCAAGCACAAAGTGAGACAGGACCCTGAAATATGTCCTACAGGTCCAATTCACACTCTATTAAGGTCCCCAGCTGCTCCCTTAGTACAACCAAGAGAAAAGACAGGCACATTAATACACTTCATGGGATGATAGATTAAGACCTGGGAAAAACCTGAAAGACCATCCTGTTAGTCACTGTCCTTACTAGTGTGACTCTGTGCCTGTGTCTTCACCTCGAGAAGGAGGGGGTGGACTGGATGCCCTTTAAGAGCACTAAATCTATGATCCTATAACCTCGCTGAGACTCAGTTTCCCCATCTGTAAAACAGGGATAATCAGACTCATACCTTCACAGGATTGCCATGGGGAAAGTATTTGGAAAAATGTAAAACACTAGAGGAAGGGTTTTTAAACCAGGGTACATGGATAGGTTTCAGGGGATCCACAAACTTGAATGGAAAAAATATATATCTTTTTTTTTATTTTATTTTTAATTTATGGAATAAAACAAGCATTCCCATAATTTACACATGAAACTGCCAATCTACTGTGCACAACTTACTATTCCTTTCAAATCTACAACAAAATTATCATGTAAATTTCTTTTTTTTTTCTTGTCTCCCTCCCAACCCCCACCCTAGAGATAGCTACCATCAGATCAATCAGGAAATGGCTGAATAAGTTGCAGTATAGGAATGTGATGGAATACTACTATGCTATAAGAAATGATGAATTTAGGAAAACATGGAAAGACTTGCACTAAATAATGAAGAGTGAAATGAGCAGAACCAAGAGAACATTGGATAGAATAACAGCAATATTAACTATAAAGGACACATGAAGAAAGATGTTATCTGCATCCAGAGAAAGAACTGATAAATAGAAGTATTGAATAATTTTACATACATACATACACACATTCATACACACATACATATATATGTACATATAACTGGTTTCCTTTGTGATCCTTTGTGTTTTATTTTATGCATTTAAAGACTTTATTCTGAGGAGTCCATAGGTTGCATCAAACTGACTGCCAAAGGGCCATGTGGCAGAAAAGATGAAGAATGTCTGAGCTAGAGAAACGGGGGCTTGTCATAGGAAGCATAAAGGGAAGAGACAGCAAAGCTGGAGAATGAAGAGAGCAGGACCCCCTGGCCCTGGCCCTGAGCTTGCTAGGAGGGGGCAGTTGTACTTACCTGAAGCTCCTAGGAGGGGTTTGATGTAGTCAGGATGCACCAGGACCAGCAGGGGCAGGAAGGGCCCTATCCAGACAAGGACAACATGGTGCATTTTGTTGAGGACCTGCATTTCGTCTCGGAGGCCCGTCTCATTGGGCAGGTACTGCAATCAATCACACAAATGGCCACCAGCTCCCCCAGGCCTCAGGCCTCAGGGTACCGGGGCTAACTCCAGCCTTCCCTTCCCATCCCTCCCCATCTTATCCCGGCTCATCAGAGAAGCCTGGAATTGGACCGGGCCTTGGAGGTCATCCAATCCAAATTCCCACCCAATTCCATACATATTATCATCTAGTTTCTCAAGGCATCAAGGTGGCCTTGAGTAAATAGAGTCAGGAAGACTTGAGTTCAAATATTTACTAGCTATGTGACCCTAGGTAAGTCACCTATTTGCCTCAGTTTCCTCAATTATAAAATGAGGGTAATAATAGCACCTACTTTTCAGAGTTGTTGTGAGGATCAAGTGAAGTAATACATAGTAAGTACTTAATAAACGCTTGTTTCCTTTCTTACTACCTTCCTTGAATACTTCTAAGAAATGGGAGCTCACTACAGAACCATGGCGACTAATGAGATTTAGAACTGGAAAGGACCTTAGAAATTGTCTATGGCAAAGGTTCCCAAACTTATTTGGCCTACCTCCACCTTTTAAAAAAAAAAAATTACTCAGCACCCCCTGGAAATCTACTTTCTTTAAATCTTTAATGGTTTGGGGTTTTTTGGGGGTTTTTTTTTTTTGAAATTTGCATCATTTCAAAAAATATGTATAATGTTTTTAAATGACGCATATTGTAAACAAGTCATTAAAGGCACATATTCCTGCCCATGCATATTGGACTTCCCAACAATGCCTGACACCCTGGCCTGCCAACACTTGCTTGTTAGGACCTGTCAGTGGACTTGACCACTGATCAGTTATAACTTGCATTTTGTGTGTTTATTTGGAAAATAATGTAATCACTATGACTTTAAGTCTGGTGCACAACAGATGAAACGTGTATGAATGCTTTTTCAAAATTTTCTCCTCTTTTCTTTCCTTATGCTTCCACCACCCCCTTATTTTCATTCAACACCCCCAATTACACCCAAGGCGACTACTACCCCTCTTCCATTCTAGCACCCTGTAAGGGGTGCTATCACCCACTTTGGAAATCTATGGAAGGCCTCTCTGCAACTAATTCCATTGTCTAATTAATTTAGCCTTTAGAAAGTACTTCCTTGATTGTGACTGGTGATTCAAAAACAGAATCTGAAGTCAGAGGAGCTGGGTACAGATCTCATCTAGGCTTCTTATTACCTGTGTGACTTTTGCTCACTCACTTCCCTTTTCTGAACCTCCTTATCTGTAAAATGAGGGTCACTGGATAAATTGATTGCTAAGGTCCCTTTCAGCCCTACATCTTCCCAGTAACTTTTACCCATTGGTGCTACAGAGAATAAATTTATCCCCTCTTCCATATGACAGTCCTGTAAATATTTTAGGAAGAGGTCTCATGTGCCCTCCCCAACCCCCAGGCTAAACCATACCCAAGTCCTCCTCATCTGTCCTCATACACAGAGAATCTTTGATTTTGTCAGTTTCAGAAACTCCTAGTGTGAGAATGCCCTCCACAATACAGATTACAACTACCTAGTAGAAAAGAGAAGTTGTTTGGGGTGCTTGCCCAGGATCCACAACTAGTAAGCATTGAGTGGGATTTGAACCCAGGCCTTCCTGACTCTAAACCTAGCACTGTATCCTCTATACCACCTGTCTTTTGTATTTGTATTTATTTAGCATCTACAGTCTTCTGCTATGTCAATGCCAATGCTAAATAGCAGTTTGTTGAATGGAGAATTTACAGACTCCCCATTATTGTCACCCTCTTCTGAGGATTCATGCCTGGAGGGCACTCCTCTCTTACCTCCACCCCTTAGAATACATAATTTCCTTCAAAGCTCAGCCAAGATCTATTTTGTATATATCTGTAATATACCCATTGTCTCTCGTAGCTAGAGTAAGTTCCTTTAGAGTAAGGAATGTTTCGTTTTTGTTTTTGTATTCCTAAGGTCTAGCATAGTTTCTTGCACATAGTAGGTACTTAATAAATGCTTGTTGCTCAATGAGCGGTGCCTCTTACTAAAATGTAACATCCAGAACTGAACATAATATTCCAGGCTTCACCAGCACAGAGTACTAAGTAGGGTGGTTGAACCAAATCACCTATGATTGGGCTTCCCACCCCAGCTAGTAATGACCTTTCCCCTCTTGACTTCGCATCAGTCTTTGGCCAGGCTTTTTCTATGGAGATATCACATATTACACATACTTCAGGAACCATGAATTAATCTACATGGCTCCATCCCTACACAAATACAGACAGCAGTTCGTCCACGTCTTGGGGCAAAAATGTCAAACTCAAATAGAAACAGGGCCACTAAACCACACATAAAGCTCCCTGCAGCACATATTAACTCAGACCTATTAACATTATATTTGACTGTCTTTCTGTTTATTTTGTTAAATATTTCCCAATTAAATTTCAATCTGGTTTCTGCCAAAGGGAGGGAAGAGCTCATATTGCATGTTTGACACCTGTGCCTTAAGAGACATGAGTGACTGGAGCTATCATCAGGTGGATAACTTCCTAGTGAGAACTTGCTCTGAATTGAGTTCATCCTATCCTCAGATGACTGATATACAGTCCATCTCCCAGCCCATCCTCAAAGGCTTTCTAGGTTGGGAGAACCTGCCAGCATCTGATCTCTGCTAACATAACCAGAGGGCACAGCGTCCCCTCAATACCCAGAGGAGGCATCAGAGGAGGATTTAGGGGACTTCCATCGTGTTATTTTGTATTATACTTAGGTATGTATCCTATCCCCCTACTAGAATGTAAGCTCATGAGGGCAAGATCCATGCAAGAACACTGAGCTTGGAGTCATAGGACCTTAAGCCAAATTCTAACCCATTTATTTTACAAACAAGGAAAGTGAGAGCTAGAAGGTTAAGTGACTTGCCTAAAGTCACACAGGGTCACTTATTCCCTGTGTGACTTTGGGCAAGTCACTTAATTTTCTGGCTCTCAGTTTCCTTGTCTGTAAAATAAATGGATTGGAATAGATGACTTCTAAAAAGGGTTGCTATTCTATGATCCTATAATCTCCAAAGCAAGAAAATACTGTATGTGCCCTACATGATGCGGTGAATAGAGCTCTAGGCCTAGAGGCAGGAAGACCTGAGTTCAAATCCAGTCCCAGACACTTAGTAGCAGTGTGACCCTGAACAAGTCATTTAACCTCTGTCTGCCTCAGTTTCCTCAACTTTAAAAATGGGGATACTAACAGCACCTGCCTCCCAGGGTTATTACAAAGATCAAATGAGATGATATTTGTAAAGAGCTTAGAACAATGCCTGGCACATAGTAGGCACTTAATCAATGCTTGCTCTCTTCCTCCAGCCTCTAATACAATGCTCTGTATATTAGAGGCACTTCATGTTTCTCAAATTGAATTAATACTCAAATATTCAAACAGATCTGTGAGCTGATCAATTCTGGAAACAGGTCACATACAGCTCATCAATTCTGGATACAGTTCTGGATACAGGTCTATGCCTGACCATCTTGTGCAATTCTGACTTAAAAACTGGCCATAGGAGAGCCACTAGATGTGCCACCAGATGTGCTAGAGACCTTCCTTCCTTTTCCTCAACATTGTAAAGTTGCCAGTGAAGCACTCTAGCTTTCCAGCCATCATCCCCTGCCTTTGCCATGAGACCAGCCCATGTCTCTTCCTGTCCCCCAGCTCCTCCTTATTGTTTTTATTCCAGTTCTTCTCTGGAGTTCCAAGATTGCCCTCACTTGCCGTGTGCCCTTCCTTTGCCCTCTGGGTGATGCCCATCTTACATTCTTCAGGACAGTGATATTCCACATCTTACTGTCATATAACAATATTGTCAACATGTTAGATTGTGAATACAGGCCTCTGCTTTTTGTACCCTGGGGCTCTAGCCTGGGTATTTCCATGATATTCTCCATATTCAGGAAAAGAATGATTATTCAAAGCATTACTTGAAGCTCTAGGCCTGTGTGAAGGTTGGAGCATATGAGAACTTGGGAAAAGAGAGCTGTTTTTTTTTCCTGGCTTCTAAGGACACAGGCTGTTTTGGGTCTTCTTCAGTGAAAGGACCCTGGAGGAAGAGAAAAACTTGGGGAAGAAGCCCCAGCCAGCATGCCTTCAGCATCTTCCTATTTCCAGCTTTCCCTATTTGAGACTTTGGAGAATTTCCCCTTGAGTGAGATTGGAGACTCTCACTTGAGCTAAAATGTCTTGCCCCCAAGAAAGTCCATTCACTCTGTGTATTGTCTGCTATATTCTAACCTGTATAACTTCTCTGGTTTCTGTTTGCTATTGTCTTTGAAAATGGGTTTATCCTCTACTCATTCTTTTGATATTGTGTAACTAGCATTTGGTGAGAGGTGCGTCAAGCCTTTGGATATATCTTGAGGAACTCCTTTATGGTTGACAGATGGAAATCAAGAAAATGATGTGAAGCTAAAAATTATTGTCCCTAGTTTAGCAATAGTTAGGGGGGCAGAGAGATATAATTCTAGTCAGTATCCCCTCTCTGAGGAGGGCAGAAAGCTTCCAATCTCCTGCATCCATGCCTCCCTACAGCTGCACTTTTTTTTGCTTCACTTTTTGTCCACTTAAAAGTATTTTATTTTTTTCCAATTATATGTAAAGATAGTTTTCAACATTCATTTTCATAAGATTTGGAGTTCCAAATTTTTCTCTCTCCCACCCCAAGATAGCAAGCACTCTAATATAGGTTATACATGTACAATTTGGTTAAACCTATTTCCACATTAGTCATATTGTGAAATAAGAATCAGAACAAAAGGGAAAAACCACAAGAAAACAAAAAACAAAAAAACGTGAAAATAATATGCTTCGATCTGCATTCAGACTCCATTGTTCTTTCTCCGGATGTAGATAGTGTTTTCTGACATGAGTCTTTTGGAGATGTCTTGGATCATTGTATTGTACAGCTGTACTATTGACAAATTCATGGGAACATACACATAAGCCACACATGGGACCCTTCTCCAATAACAACAG